ATGAAATTATGACACGACTATGGTGCTCTTCGCACCTACTCCAAGGTTGAGGGACTGATTACCTCATCTTCTGTACATAGTCCTACTGTCTTCAAGTTATGTCCTAGAATTTGTATTGATAAAGCCACTGGATGGCGAAACGTCTACAATAAAGATACCCAGATGTTGCACATGTGTCTTAATACTTTACAAGTGGATGCCAGCAAGTATGCATTCGGCACTATTCTTCTACAGCCTTCCTCCTCTTCTGATCTTTTACACCCAGTCTGTTATTTTTCTGCAAAATTGAAACCCCATCAATTAAATTATGCAGCTGTTGAAAAGGAGGCACTAGCATTGGTCTTAGCCTTGGAACACTTTGAGGTCTATCTCGGGACTACCCCTCATAAAATTAGAGTAAAAACAGATCATAATCCCTTATCCTTTTTAAACACCATGAAGGCTAAGAATGCTAGAATGCAAAGATGGTTCCTTAGGATACAACCTTTTTCTATAAGTATTAACCATATTAGAGGAGCTGATAACGTGATTGCTGACACACTGTCCCGTCCTTAAGACATGTTATTAAATTTAAGTTTACAAAAGAGGGGATTTATGGTACAATTTTATAAAGAAAGATTTGTTTAAGGCATTGTTTCTTAATGCTGTTTGTTTACTTACAGTTATCTAATTCTTGTAACCACTGAGGAGACCTGTCATGTAAGCCACCTTATGGTGTCCAGAACTTATTCCTACAGTGGCTGTCTCCTGTTGTCTTACCCTGACTTCTGCTACCAAGGGTCACTGGAGGCCTCTTTATGGGAAACGCCTCTTCTACCAGAAGCTCTGGTTACGCGGTGTCTACACATGTGGTTTGGTGACCCAAGACTCAGTTTTCTTATTTGAAGAAGCATCATTTGTCATCAGGGTCTTTGTCAGAGAAATGACATGTGTTCTGGTGTATATTCTATTTTTGAGGTCCTCTTTAACGGCGACGTTTAGTCATCGAAGGGGGGGGGGTGTTATCACCAAGGTCATAATGAGATTAATTTATATGTGTATTGTCCACTTAATATTATACTCGGGGTTTCTTTAATATTAGCTAAATTAAAGATTCCACTAGTTTATAATATTATCTGGTTTAGGAATACTATACCCGGGTATGATGTGTAAATGTATGTGTACTATATCTTGAGTAATGTGTTAGGTAGGTACACCTGGCTAAGGTTTATAACAAGGTTTGTCCATTGGTGGGTAGTTTACACCGCTCTACCCTCTCCCCCTTTGACGAGTTGACGTCATGAAGGGATTTACTGTGTAAGGCCAGTTCACATTCGCTGCTGACTGGGTGAACAGCGTCTTGGCAGACCTACTAGTACTACTCCGGTACGGTTCTCTCCTGGTGTCTTGGAGAATCTAGTTGAGAAACTCCTGAACTGGCTTGAGTTGAAAATTCTGTGATGGAGTCAGCAGAAAGTCATATGCAGATATCTTCGGTATACGATCTGTCTACCAGTGTCGTGTGTAGAAGTCCCAGTGATATTGACCTTACTCAGAGAAGGAGTTCCTTTTTGATGTATATACTCTTTCAAGTCATGTGTTACTATTGAGGAAACAGTCTTGCTCCTCAGAATATTTTCAAGTGTAGTGTCCCTATAGACATTGAAGGTGCTAATTTACGGTTAAGACCCGTAATATTATATACCTACAATTCAGGATTTTTAAGTGATTGAAAGAATCTCATTAAATAATATTTAATAGATATTTACAAATATCCAAGAGAAGTATTTACCAATAGACCCCTGGCTGTCTTCAAGCAGGCACTGGACAAGCACCTAAAGTCGGTACCTGACCAGCCGGGCTGTGGCTCGTACGTTGGATTGCGTGCAGCCAGCAGTAACAGCCTGATTGATCAGGCTCTGATCCACCAGGAGGCCTGGTCACAGACCGGGCCGCGGGGGTGTTGACCCCCAGAACTCTCTCCAGGTAAACTCCAGGTAAAAGCCTGCAAAATGCTGAGTAATTCTTAGTTGCATCTTATATTTCCAAGATTTGAAGTTCCTTTTTATTCTTGGAAGTGATTTTGTTATGGTGGGCACTAAACCTGACAAACGACTAAGATTCGAACCATAACAGTCACCATACCCCACCCGGGGCGTGGTGACCATGTTAGAAACCTTGGAAAGTTTCTAGATGGATCGAGAGAGAAAGCAGAGTTCATGGCAACACACCCAGGTTCACTTACAGAAATAAAGATTACAGTGGGTCCTTGGCTAACGAACGCATCACATAACATTAAATCCACCCAACGAAGAGTTTGAGCGTATAAATTTTGGCCTGGCTTACGATAAAAACTCGCCCAATGTGATTTGTCCCGAACCTGTCCGTCCTGCCTGAGCACCTCAGCTGCCCTGCCGCCATTGTTTACAAGCCAGGGTGGCCAGTTTCATGCATACATTCGATACATTTTGTATTATTCCATTGTTTATAGTGCCACCATGGGCCCAAATGAAGCTTCTAGTGCCAACTCTGTGGTAAAAAGGGTGAGAAATACTATCGTACACGGTCAGCTGCTGCTGTACCACCGTCAGCTGTTGTTGCACCACTGTCAGCTGTACTACTCGAAGATGTGGAGAGACTGTTGTTGGTGTGGCTTAACAAGAAACAATTACCGAGAAAATATTAACCCCAGAGGGTTAGCCACCCAGGATAACCCAAGAAAGTCAGTGAGTCATTGAGGACTGTCTAACTTATTTCAAGCATCCTGTCTCAGTGTGAGGCAGGATGACTCAAAAAAAAAAAAAAAGCTCATTCACCATCATTCACACATATCACTGTCTTTGCAGAGGCCAGCAGATATGACAGTTTAGATGTCACTCCAGACAGCAAATATCCCAAATCCCCTCCTTTCAAGTGTAGGCATTGTACCTCCCACTTCCAAGACTCAAGTTCTTCTAATTGGTTCCCCCTAATTCCTTCACAAAATATTACCCTGCTCACACTCCAACAGCTTGTCAAGTCACAAAAACCATTTGTCTACTCACTTCACTCTAACATGCTCACACATGCTACTTGTCCGACCCTCTTGCACACGAAACCCCCTTTTACCCCCCTCCCTCCGTCCTTTCCTAGGATGACCCCCTTCCCCTCTTTCCCTCCACTACAGATTTATACACCCTCCAAATCATCTTATATGCTCCATCCTCTCTAAATGTCTAAACCACCTTAAGAACCCCTTCTCAGCCCTCAGAATAATACTTTTATTAAATCCACATTTCCTAATTTTCACACTTCGAATTCTCTGCATAATATGACACACATTGCCCTTATACATGACATCTCCACTGTCTTCAGCCTCCTCCTTGCTGCAACATTCACAACCCATAGTTCATACCCAACACCTCACTTACAAACTCTTTCTCAATTTTAATTGTTTGTTATTTATTCCTCCTCTACTTTGAAGTTTCCCAATTATTCTCTCATGGGAAACTATAAAATGCTTTCTTAAAATCTAGATAAATAAACTCTGGCCATCCATTTTTTCTTGAACAAATTCAGGTACTGTCAAATAATTTAATAGGCTTTATATACAAGAATTTCTCAACAGAAAGCTAAATGAATTGTTTACTAGTCAGTAGCTTATTCCTCTTGAAGTGTTTTCTTCTCTTCATTTTAATGACTTCTAATATTTTTACAACACTTGTCAGTACAACCACCCTATGGTTTAACCCTTTGACTGTTTCGGTTGTATATATACGTCTTACGAGGTACCGTGTTTGACGTATATATACTCATAAATTCTAGCGGCTTCAAATCAAGCAGGAGAAAGCTGGTAGGCCCACATATGAGAGAATGGGTCTGTGTGGTCATTGTGCACCATATAAAAAAAATCCTGGAGCACGCAGTGCATAATGAGAAAAAAAAAATCCTTTTTTTTTTTAATTAAAATGCCGACTTTGTGGTCTATTTTTGTATAGTATTTATGGTTGTATACTCGTTTTCTTGGTCTCATTTGATAGAATGGAAAACATATTAGAGAAATAGAGGTGATTTTGATTGGTTTTACTATAAAAAAGAACCAGGAAATGGAGCTCAAAGTAGGGGAAATGTTTAATTTTTTGCCGATGTTCAAAAGTAAACAAATGATGTCATTGTCTAATAAATGTCCAACTAGCCATTCTAATATGAGTCATGAATGGGTTGACATTACGCATTTGTACAATTACAGTACATATTACAATATTGCAGTAGTCTGCATAACAGTAAATCTTCAATTTTTTGTTTGAATAAAAATTCAAAATAGAAAGCAAGAGTAATATCAGAGGGGCCTGGAGACATGACTGATGAACAAAGAAAATGCCAGGAATGTCTGCATTGTTCATTCTGGACCTTATTTTGAAATTGTCATATTTTTTAATTTTCGTGAAATTGGCCAAATTGCAAATTTCTGACCATGTTATTGGGTAGTTGAAATCGGTAAATGGGCAGTTTCTTGTACTCAATCGATAGAAAAAGCGGAGTTCTAAAGAAATAGCTATGAGTTTGGTCGTCTGGAACAATGGAATTAGCCGAAAATAGGGCTCAAAGTGGACGAAATCGCCGATTTGTAAATAACGCTGAGGTCGCTAACTTCGTGAGAGCGTAATTCCGTCAGTTTTCTTTCAAATTTCGTTTTTTTGGTGTCATTACAATCGGGTAAAGATTCTCTATCATTTCATAAGAATTTTTTTTTTTTTTTTTAAATTTTGTGACACCGGGAGACACCTCAGGATTGGGGGTTGCGACAGCCAAGGGGTTAAAGGGTCTTCCTTGTCATCTTTCTTAAATATTGGCACAATGTAATATTTCATATGTGGTGGCAGATTACATTGCTAAAAATATGACATGGCTGCTGCTTGTAAGGACATTGCTTAGTAATCTACAGAATCACATAATCACATTTAATCCTTCTCTCAATACTACTCTGTCATTGAATTAAAAGAGTGTAATTAACAAGAATAAAACACAGCTTGTTCTTACAGGAGTGAATGAGCTAACCTTGATGATGGACCACAGCTATGTTAGCCGCCAGCATCCTCCTGTGGAGCAAGAGCCTTCTAGTAATATTCCCCGGTATGTTGATATTTAATTTCTTCTTTGAGTAGTAGACCGGTTGCCATCAGTTGCTCAGGAAGCACTACAATAGAGGAAGTAAAGGGTAAATCTTTCTTCTTATGATATTTCTTTTCTGCGGTTATATTTACACCTGTTGTCTTCCTCTTGTTGATTTTGGAGGTTATCATCTTTGTGGCCCAGTCCCAGACCAGGTCTCCTGGTTGGTGGTCTGATCAGTCAGGCTGTTGGCATTTACAGAATACAATGCACACCCTACAGCTCAGCTGATCAGGAACTGAGTAGGAACATCAGATTCTCTTGTAGATAGGGATCTGTGGCATTTGATGGCTTGGTAAATTTTCCCCACATTATCCTTTCAAGGCATCACATTTATGTATACTCATTCTTTGCCTTTCATTTGTCCTGTTTTTCTTTTAAAGTATCATATTATATCATTGCTTCTTAACGTCCTAGCCTTGGGAGCCATACAGTCCAGTGGCATCGAATGCTCACCACTGTCTGTATACCTGTTGTCTACCTGTTCTTGTTTCAGGGGTGCCATCACCCCCTTGACCCTGTCCCAGTCCTGGTCTCTTGGTTGACGGTGGCCTCATTAATCAGGTTGTTAGTACTAGCAGCACACAGTCCAGCGTAGGTGTTGTGGTACCGCTAATCAGGAACTGATTGGAGAAACCTATTAATTTCCTTTTGAAGAAAGGGTCTACTGTTTTTGGATAAATCTGAGAATTGGCACCTGTCAACAACGAGATGGTATGCATGTGAAGAAACACAACCATGTAACTAACTTGTTTGATTTTGGCTGCTGTTGGGCTTTTGTTGATGGTGGTGGTAGTAGTAGTAGTAGTAGTAGTAATGGTGGTAGTGGTAGAAGTAATAATCACAAGTCTAAAACAAAGAGCTAGTAAAAAATTTTTATATTAATGGTATATAAAACTGACAAGTAGATGAAAAAACACTTGCAGCTCTTGGGTATCTTTATTGCAGATCCGTTTTGCTAGTCAGTGTCTTTATCGGTCCAATACAGAGAATAATCCTGGGGATTTTGAAACACATGGAAGTAGAGTTTGAGGTGAGCACTGCTAGGAAGTTTTCAATTCATCAGTCTGGGTGAATACAGACCAATGGATTGAAAACTTCCTAGCATTACTGAGGAACTGACCACCACCAACTAATTCTTCAAGTCTTCCATTGTCTTCGACAGATTCATCAAAGGCAAGAAATGTTGCTCAGTGTTGACGGCCCCGTTCAAGGCAGGAGAAATATCAGGGCTTGAACAAATACATACAGAGATCATTTATGGCCCACATAGAGTCAGTAAGGCATATAAATTACTGGGAATGCCTTCAAGTCTTGAACATGTACTCAATGGAGCTTGGTCCGAAACCTGCACACTGCCATAACAACATATTGGAGTGAGAGATATGGGAGGAAGTGCAAAATAAACCCAGTGAAGAGCAGGGGTTCAGTGGGCACATTAAGGAAACACTGTATCAATATTTGTGGCCCCAGACTATTCAATATCTTACCAGAAGATATCAGAAACATAGCTGGAACAAGTGTAGTAGCCTTCAAGAGAAAACTGGACAGGTATCTTCACCAGGTGCCAGATCAATCAAGCTGTGATGGATATATAGGGCAGTGTGCCTTCAGCACCAACAGCCTGGTTGACCAGGCAAGCACCAGACGAGCCTGACCCTTGGCTGGGCTCAGAGAGTAGTAGGACTCGAAACTCATCAAAGTTGTATCAGTGTCTCCAGGATCATTCTCTGTAGTACTGGATGATAAAGCTACTGGTTGGCAAAACATTTCCACATTAAAGATACCCAAGAGTTGCACATACAGTATGTCTTATTCTTCTAAGGAGAAATATGTTGCCTTACCAAGTAAAGTAGGATGGTAGATAGCACTCACACAGAGAGGTATTATTGTTCTGTCATGTAATTTTTAAATAAGAGCCTGTTAGATGTACAGTAGTTCCCCCATAGCTACGGGGATATGTTGTGGGACCTATGGTGAATGCCTGAAACTGTGGATACCTATGATAAAGTTTAATTGATAAATTATGCACAAGTCAAGAAGCACTTCACGGCTTCACTTATTCTTTGAAGAACTTCTGCCATCACTACTTTTGTGCTTTGGGTCATTATTAAGCAAAATTAAAAGTTATTTTCAGGCTATGATAAACCAAGGATAATCGAAACTGCAGAAACTTAATCCGTATTGCACTCTGGCAGGATTATAAATACGTAAGATCGCTGGAAAATCTTCAACTTTGATTTGTATTCAGTATTCAGTACATGTACTTGGTATGAGCCAGTACCAAAATTTTGCCAATACCATCAAAATTAGCTGATGGCCACTGATGCTGATACAATCAAAATTAGCTGATACCCACTAATACTGATACCAATACAGTGGACCCCTGGTTCACGTTATCAGTCCGTTCCTGAGAGCTCATCGTAAAGCAAAATTATCGGAAAGCGAATCAATTTTCCCCATAAGAAATAATTGAAATCAAATTAATCTGTGCAAGACTCCCAAAAGTATGAAAAAAAGAAACTTTTACCACATGAAATATTAAGTTTAATGCAATAGAATAATTACAATAATACCAATAGAATAATCACAATAGAATAATTGACACTTACCTTTAATGAAGATCTGGTGATCATTGATGGGATGGGAGGAGGGGAGAGTGCCTAGCCTTTTCACAAATAATTGCTTGAGAGATGCTATCTCCTGCTATCTGTTTTTCATTTATCCACACCAATAACAGTATCTCAATATTTTCTAACACTTGGGATCGCTGTTTTGTAATCACAGTTGCACCTTTTGCAAGAACAGCTTCCTTGATTGCCGTTTTCCTGCTCACTATAGTAGAGATGGTTGATTGGGATTTACTATACAACTTGGCCAGGTCCAACACACGCACTCCACTTTCGTACTTTGCAATTATCTCTTTCATTTCAATAGTCATTAGCACCCTTGGTCTCGATGGGTTGGCACTAGAAGCTTTCTTGGGGCCCATGGTGACTTATTTTGCAGAAACAAGCACCAAAAACAGTGATAATATGGATAATATGGAATGTACGAATGTACCCTTAGAGGCGCACATGGCTGTTGTAAAACTGGCACAAGGGGCAGTTCGGGCCACAGTGGACACGTCTCGTACGAATGTATCCCCATACCGGGGTTTTTGTAACGGAAACCGGGGAAAAATTTTTTGCGATAAAATCTTAGATCCCGAAGACTTCGCAAACCGGGGGTCCACTGACTCCATTTGGGCTGACCCCAATTTTTTTTTTTTTTTTTTCAAAAGTGGGCCCGTCTCCCCGAGGCGGGTTTTCCCCAAAAAAAAAGAAAGAAAACCCCCAAAAAAAAAATTCTTTCTATCATTCAACACTTAACCCACCTCACACTTTATCAGTGTTTTTGCAGGGTGCTCAGAATAAAAAATTTTTTGAAGCTTATACATATAAGTACACAACATACCCCTCAAACTGCCAATATCTCAAACCCCCCCTTTTAAAAAAGTGCAGGCATTGTACTTCCCTTTTCCAGGATCAAGTGATATTGAAAATAAAACCGGTTTCCCCTGTCCTTCTAAATATTACCTGCCCCCAACTCCAAAGATCGTCAGGTCCCAATCCCATTTTCATTCACCCCATCTAACACGCTCACGACGCTTGCTAAAAGTCCAACCCCCTCCCCCAAAAACCCTCCTTTCCCCCCTCTCTAAAACCCTTTTGGGAGACCCCTACCCCCTTCCCTTCCCCCTAAGTTTTTATATGTTTCCATGTCATTCTCTTTGACCAGCTCCTAAAGACCAACCACCCTTAAACAACCCTCTTCTGCCCCCGACTAATACTTTTTTAATCCCCACCCTTTTTCCCAAAATTTTTAATCCCAAATTTTTTGCATAATATTTACACCACTTTTTCCTTGAAAAAGGACATCTCACTGCCTCCCGTTTTTTCCCCCGTGCTGCATTTACCACCCAAAACTCACCCATATAAGAGTGTTGGTTTCTACTATACTTTTATACATTTCCTTTTTTTCCTCATAGATTCGTTTTTTTATCCCTATACCTCAAAACACCATCTCTTTTTTCCCCCATCAATTCTTTGACTAAACCCCTCCTTATAAATCCATCCCCCGAACGTAAAAAAACCCAAAGTATCTGAAAAAATTACTTTTCCATACTCCTCCTCCCCTTTGATATCCCAATTTTTCTTTATCTAAATATTTGATACCTCATCACCTTTTCTTTTCTAGTTCACTTTCAACTTTTACCTTTTCACACATTCCCAAATCATCCCCTAACCTTTGCAATTTTTCTTTAGAATCTCCATAAGCACAGTATCATCAGCAAAAGTAACTGTGTCAATTCCCATTTGAATTTGATTCCCTAAAATTTAATCCCACCCTCTCCCAACACCCTAGCATTTACTTCCTTTACAACCCCATCTATAAATATATTAAACAACCATGGTGACATTACACATCCTGTCTAAGACCTACTTTTACCGGGAAGTAGTGCCCCTCTCTTCTACACACACTAACCTGAGCCTCACTATCCTCATAAAAACTCTTTACAGCATTTAATAACTTACCACCTATTCCATATACTTGCAACATCTGCCACATTGCTCCTCTATCCACTCTATCATATGCCTTTTCTAAATCCATAAATGCAATAAAAACTTCCCTACCTTTATCTAAATACTGTTCACATATATGCTTCAATGTAAACACTTGATCTACATATCCCCTACCCACTCTGAAACCTCCTTGCTCATCTGCAATCCTACATTCTGTCTTACCTCTAATTCTTTCAATTATAACCCTACCGTACACTTTTCCTGGTATACTCAGTAAACTTATTCCTCCAATATACAATCAAAATTAGTTGATAGCGACTTATATGGATACTGATACTTTGGCACACCCCTGACATATACTTACATTTTCTTTTTCTTTTTGTTAATTTATTGGTT